GGGGGTTTTGCTGTTTAGACTGACAGGATAGGGATAGGGAAGAAGTTTATGGTTCTTCCTAGGTAGTCAGGGGTGTGGGAGCAACAGCCTTCTCAGAGGAGAAGCTGTTGCTCTGGATTGCCCAGGGTGGTCTACTAAGGTCACTGATTCGAGGATTAGGTTGTGGAGTGGCCAGTGTGCCCAGATTTGCAGATACTTCAGCCTGGGTTCATGGCAGCTACTGGAGCTTTCCATGCTTTGGTCTTATGACGCATGTGTACTCTGTTGCAAGGGTGAATGGGTAGATTAGGCTGCATCCAGGAGCCTCGTCAAACAAGAGGTGCTCTTGAGTTCAGGGTAAGCTCGGTGTATTGAGGACCCAATTGCTTGGGAGTTTAGTGATTTCTCAAGTCTGCCGTGAGATTGGTGAGAGGACGTGCTAGGCTTCTTTCTTTCCTCTTTTCCCCTCTTTCCTGGACTGTCTTGGACATCAGGGAGCTTGGATCACTTATTTATTGGGTTGAACTCCAGACTGCTTGCACCCTGCTCTTCCTTGGTGATTTTCTCCTTGGAGAGGGATTCACTCTGTGATCAGCTGGCTATCTTGACTCAGAAGCCTCTGATTTCATGATTGTAAATCAAGCAAGATTGATTTTACATGAACATTGACTGTAAATCCAAGCAAGATTAAATCCTTGACAACTTCAATCTTTTCTGTATTTACCATGATGCTACCTATCGGTCCTGTCGTGAGGATTTGGGTCTTCATTACATTGAGTTGTAAAGAAGCAGCAATCCTTGATCTTCATCAAGTGCTTAAATTCCTCCTCACTTTCAGCAAGCAAGGTTGTGTCATCTCCATATCACAGCTTATTAATAACCTTGCCTTCAATCCTGACACCAAATTCTTCATGTAATACAGAAAAATCAGAAGTTGTAAAAAAATGGAATGCATAAATATTGACATTGTAGGCACTAGCGGAAATAGACTGATATTGGCCATTTTGAATTAGGCAATCATATAGCTTGCTATTAAGAGAATAATTGATTCTAGAAATGGCATTTCATTTATTGTCATAAAGGACATTTCAAGATCGATGTTAAAGTGCAGTGTGCTCTGTGATAGGATATTATCTATCCACATCAAGGAAATCCATTCTTTTTGCAAGGAAATTTCCATCTCCGGCTATTGTGAACAGTGTTGTGATGAATATGAGTGTGTATGTCAGCGTATATTGTATTTATTTCTTGTGTATACCCAGCAGAATGATTGCTGGGGTGTATGGAATTTCTATTCCTGGTTCTTGGAGGTAGCTTTCAACAGAGGCTAGACATATTTACAATCACATCAGAAATGTATGAGGGCTCTAATCTTTATGCGTCATTGATGTAAGGTGATTTATCACTATTGCTTAAATTTGCATCTCAGATGACTAATGATTGTGACTATTCATGTTTGTTGGCCATTTGGATGCCATCTTTGGTGAGTTTTCTATTCATGTCCTTGGCCCCCTTTTTAAATTGGATTATTCACCCTTTTCTCTGAGTGTTTACATATAAATTTCTTGTCTTTTGTATCATTGCCAACAATTTTTTCTGTCCTCTGTGAGTTCTCATTTTATTCTTTTTGATGAATATAAGTGTCTTTCTTTTTTCCCTTCATTGTATTTGATAATGTACTCATGCCTTAAAATTAGGGGTCTTAAGTTTGTAGCAGTGCTTTTGACTTAACCTTCTTATTTTAGAAATTAGACCCCTGCATATCTAAGAAAAATAAATTTGCATAAAGTCTTTGTTGTAAGTATTTGTGGCACACATTATTCATCTTAATCCAAGACATTGAACAACGTAAAAGCCAATCAACCAATAAACATTAAATAAAACTATGTAATAAAATGCTAATTAAGGGGGAGGGGAAAAAGGAAAATGAGGAGCTAATTCCAGGAACCCAAGCAGGAAGTGAATTTTGAGAATGATGAGGGCAACAAATGTATAAGTGTGTTTTACATAATTGATGTATGTATGGATTGTGATGAATTGTATGAGCCCTAATAAAATGATTTAAAAAATGTTATTTAGCAATAAAAATTTACAAATGCCAGATTAGAGAATGAGCAGACACTTTAGTTAGAAATAATAGTAATTGAAATTTTTCAGCAGATGGATACAATATTGAAAACACTCAATAAATTTAAATAATTTTAACAAGCTCTTGTAGGCTAGCAGTTCTGGGGTAGTGTTGGTGTCTCCTTTTGTGTACTTCATATAATTGTGTGTCTGTATCTGCCAACTCCTGGGGGATAAACTGGAATATATGGACAAAATGGGTAATAATTGATGAAATAACTAGAGGTCAACTTTAAGTCTTAGGCTTTGTGATTTATACAGTTAACAGTTTTGGGGGAAGTAGGTTGTGACCAATATTGGAAAATACTAGAGCCATGTTATTAGAAACTTGCACAGCGTTACCTTTTGGTGTGGAGCTATGTTACATAATGTAACTGTATTATCCTTTCCCTGTTGTGTCCTCCACATCTTTACAGACTCTAAAACTTTTCAAAAGTGCTGTGAATAAAGATACCTGGTTAAGTTGGCATTATTAGAAATAGTGTACTATATATTTCTTAGTTCAAGTGTTGGATTGTATCTTACTCAGACATTAGGAAATCAGAAATGATATGTTGCTATATGGTAGCACTTTGACATATACTGTTCCCTTCTATTGATGGTTAGTTTTTCTTCTATGCAAATTATTAAATTTGTCATATGATTCATTACATAAGATTACTGAAATTGGGATAAACAATCTGGAGGAGAAAACAATGGGAAGCGGCAGAAAGGAAGTGGATGTTAGCAAACCCAGGGACAAGGAAACAACAAGTGACCTAAACTCAATGGCAAGGAAGATGTAGGAAGCCTTGTGGGCCTTGATCAAGGGCAATGTAGCTGAGGGGAATTCCTGAAACCCAAATGAAGGCTGAACATGATAGTGGGACAAGAGGAAACTAAAAGGAAATAGAGGAAAGAACTAGGATGCAAAGGGCATTGATAGAGATCTAAAGTCAGGCTTGTACATATGTAAATATATTTATATATGATGGGGGAAATAGATTTATGTAATATATTTATAATTTTAGTATTAAGGTAGCAGATGGACATTGGGCCTCTATTCAAGCACTCCCTCAAAGCAAGAACACATTGTTCTAATAATCTGGCATTCTGAGATGTTCACCTTCCCGACACGATCACTGAAGACAAAATGGGTACATAAGCAAATGTGGTGAAGAAAGCTGATGGTGCCCAGCTATCAAAAGATATAGCATCAAAAAAAAAAGAAACAGATATAGCGCCTTGGGCCTTAAAGACTTGAAGATAAATGAGTAGCCATCTAACAGAAGCAACAACGTTCACATGGAAAAAGCACACCAGTCTGTGCGATCATGAGGTGTTGATGGGATCAGTTATCAGACATCAAAGACACAAAAAGCATGTCATTGTGAATGGGGGGAGTACGGAATGGAGACCCAAAACCAATCTGTAGGCAATTGGACATCCCTTTCAGAATTGTCGCGGGGAGGAGACGAGCCAGTCAGGGTTCATGGAAGCATACAGCTTTCCTCTAGTTCTTTAATTCTTTCTCCCCTCTACTATCATGACCCCAATTCCAACTTACAAATCTGACTAGACTGGAGCATGTATATGGTTACAGATAAGAACTGGAAACACAGGGAGTCAAGAACAGATTAGCCCCTCGGGACCAGTATTGAGAGTAGTCAAACCTGGAAGGCAAGGGGAAGGTGGGGGGAGAAAAGGGGAAATTATCACAATGATCTACATATAAGCCCCTTCCAGGGGCATGGACAAAAGAAAAGTGGGTGAAGGGAGACATCAGTCAGTGTAAGACATGAAAAAATAATAATTTATAAATTATAAAGGATTTATGAGGGAGGGAGGTTCAGGAAGGGAGGAGAAAAAATGAGCTGATACCAAGGGCTCAAGTAGAAAGAAAATGTTTTGAGAATGATGATGGCAACAAATGTACAAATATGCTTTATACGATGGATGTATGGATTGTGATAGGAGTTGTATGAGCCCCCAATAAAATGATTAAAAAACAAGAAAGAAAATGATGATGGCAACAAATGTACAAATGCGCTTGACACGGATGGATTATGTATTGTGATAGAAGTTGTATGAGCCCTCAATAAAATGATTTATTAAAAGAGAAAACAGGATTACTGAAATTTTGACATAGTTCCATTTTTTCTTTTCAGGTAATTCTGTACGAACTGGAGATAGTAGAAAGCATATAGATATGTTACCATACAACTCTGGTACTTGCAGAATTGAAAAGGAGAAAGGAAGGGCTGAAACCTTGAATGGTATTGTTCCACATTGTAGCAGAGTAAGTTTATATGCTTTTTTTCCTTTTTTTTTCAATTTTTCCTAAAATTTTTGTATTTGTATGATATCATTATTTTTCTGAACAATTCTTGATTTTGGGGAAATTTTTAAAGGTCTAAAGAAGATAATAAGCACCACTGTGAGTTTTTGTTCATATTTGTATGCCTTATTTCAGAACACTAAAATGATATGAAGTACACAATTATACATTTTCCCAAATTTAAACATTTAATGACTTACATTTAGATTTATTTGAAAAGTTCTTTCGCTCATTGTCTAACCATTAAATAAAAAAAGCAGAGGCATCAACTGAGTCCAAGTGGAAGAAGGACACCAGCCTTTGTGATCCAAATAAAGTCCAAATTTGAAGGAAGGAATGGTATAAAGCTTAAATTTGTGAATATCTAGTTTCCAGAAGACTGTAGATGACAATGGGAGCCCAAAATCCATTTTCATGGTTACACTTTGATTAAGCCTCTGGTGAATATCCTCTGACCATAGATAGTCACAGGATGTGTGCAGCTTTTGTTACTTGAGTATTGTAGAGGTGATTCTGGTAGATATAAAACTCTCAAACCAAACTCACCATAGTCAATGTAGCTACAGTTAAGTTAATATGTAACATCTTACTTGATCCACATAACAGTTGTATCAGTTTTTTTTTTTAAACACACATGGATTAAACCTCTGGCAGAGCCCCTGTGGTGAATCTCCTCTGAACATTGACCAGGGATGTGACTAGCCTTGCTGTCATGCATAGTACTTTTGAAAGTAGATTATGGCAGATGTAGTTAGGTTAAAATTTAATACTTTATTATTTAATCTCCCTTTTGACTTATTTTTTTTAAAATCATTCTACTAGGGGCTCACACAACTCCCACCACAATGCATACACACACCAACTGTGCAAAGCGCATCCGCACATTCACCGCCCTCATCACTCCCAAAACATTCCTCTCCACTTAAACCCCCGGCATCAGGCCCCCACCTTTCCCCACCCTCCCTGCTCCCCCTTCCCTCACAAGCCCTCGACAATCTACAAACCCTTACCTTGTCATACCTTGCCCCGTCCGACGGCTCCCTCCACCCACCTCTCGGCCGTCCATCCCCCAGGGAGGAGGTCACATATAGTTCCCTGTAATCGGTTCCCTCCCTTTTGACCTATCTTAAAGGTGTTCTAGTTTTTAATATTTTCACTTTACTTTCGATTGAGATTTTTTTTCTCTGTTTTATTTTGTTATTGTTGTTAGCTTTTGGGGGCTAGGTTTTTGAGTATTCGAAGCCCAGATGGATGAATCTATAGAGACAGTAACTAGGTTAATGATTTCTTGTGGATATGGCAGGGAATGTTGGGGCAGGGGTAATGGTGGTGAGGAATGGGAAGCTAATAACCAGGAGTACAAGAAATAACAAAATGTTCTAATATTGATTGTGGTAATGATTGTACATCTCTTCATGATATGATAGAAGTATTGAATTGTATGATATATGGATTATGTCTCAATAAACTGTTTAGAAAAACAAAAAATTAAAATTTTAACCAAAAAGTAAATATAAAATATTTCTAAAAAACCTTTTATGTTGCTCACACGCATTGTTATTTTTATTTAAATTTCTTTACTGTTTTATTAATGGCACCCCATTTTTTTCTGTGCTTGAAACTTACTGGTCATTTCTTTGTCCCTTAATGTGTACTTGTACAATGGTAAATCACAAAATATTGCTACTAGGGAACCAGTTTATATTTGTGTGGATTTCCTCTAAAGACATTTGTTTAAAAGTGTCTTCAGGCCTATTCTTTTAGTACTACCCTTGTCCTAGTCTCATTGGATAACTATAAAAAAACGGGCCAATCTAAACTGTTAGTTTCTACTCTTGGTAGAAAATGTAATACACATGTCTTCAACAACTTACTCGTATAATTATAGTGAGTCTCATTGGTTACACAAGCAGAAGCCCTGGTTGTGTAGTACCCTTTTCCCCCGAAAGTAAGACATCCCCTGAAAATAAGACCTACTTATAGTTTTGCCTCTCACTGAGATATAAGACACCCCCCGAAAATAAGGCCCCCCGAAGCTACCGTAACTCTGGACTCTGGACCGCGGCAGCGGGCGCCACCGCGCAGCTCCCTGTTGTCTGCAGTGCAGCCGGAGCAGACAGGAAGTGCGAGGTCTCTTTTAATAAAACAATAAACAATAAATGTGTACCGTATTCTTCTTCATGCAAAAATAAGACATCCCCTGAAAATAAGACTTAGCTCATCTTTGTGAGCAAAAATTAATATAAGACACTGTCTTATTTTCGGGGAAACAGGGTAGTTATGAGGTAGTCTGTAACCACAGGGTTAGCATTTCAAAACCACCAGCAGCAACTCAAGAAAAAGTCAAGGCTTTCAACTTCTGTGAAGAGTTATAGTCTTGGAAACGCATTGCTATGGATTGCTATGATTCAGAATCACCTACATGGCAGTCAAGTTTGGTTACCCAAGTTTTTCTCAAAGTGGCCAATATCGCCACCTTGGGAAACACTGGAATGATGCTGGGGAACTGCAAAAGCAGACTCCTGTGCATTATCCTGGATTATGGGCTGTAGTACAAAACTTCAATTGCCAAAGTGGCATTGAGTAATTTTTCTTTTTACTTGAAAGGGGTTGTTGGTAAGCCAAATAGGTTTGAGACTCTGTGGGTTACACTAATGGACTTTCTAATGTAAAAGGGAACTAAATATTTCTAAATGCGTGGACTTTAAAGACAATGGAATTTTTACATGAACTGTTTGAAGCTTCTTGCTAGTTCTAAATATATTGAATAATGTATAACCTATCTTTATTATGAAAATAACTTTAAAAATCAACCTTAGATTTTTTTACCTATAAAATTTAGAATTAGCATTAGAAGCAAAAGACATTTAGAGAGGTATAAGTATAGGCATGTACATATGTAAATATATTAATATATAATGATAGGGCTATAGGTCTATGTACATATAATTAAGTGTTAAATATTAAGGCAGCAGACAGACATTGGGCTTCTACTCAAGCCCTCCTTCAATGCAAAAACACTTTGTCCTAATAACCTGGCATTCCCGATAAGATTGCCGAAGTCAAAATTGGTGCGTAGGGGGGAGCGGGGAGGGAGGGGGAAAAAATGAGCTGACACCAGGGGCTCAAGTGGAAAGCAGGTATTGTAAGAATGATTAAGTCAACATATGTACTAAAGTGCTAGACACAGATGACGTATGTACAGATTGTGATGAGTTGTATGAGCCCCTAATAAAATGATTATTTTAAAAAAAATTGGTGCATAAACTAATGTGGTGAAGAAAGCCGATGGTGCCTGGCTATTAGAAGATACAGTGTCTGGGGTCTTAAAGGCTTGGCATTAAACAAGAGGCCATCTAGCAGGGAAGCAACAAAGCCCACATGGAAGAAGCACACCAGCCTGTGTGATCATGAGGTGTCAACAGGAGCAGGTATCAGGTATCAGAATACCCAAAACAAATATCATATCACTATGAATGAGGGGGTTGGAGTGGAGACCCAAAGCCCATCTGTAGACATGTTGATATTCCCTAACAGAAGGGTCACAAAGAAGGGATGAGCCAGCCAGGGTGCGGTATAACACCGACGAAACATGCAACATTCCTCTAGTTCTTGAATGCTTCGCCCTGTCCCACTGTCATGACCCCATTCTACCTTACAAATCTGGCTAGACCAGAGCATGTACACTGGTACAGGTAAGAGCTCGCAGCAGGGAATCCAGGACAGATAAACCCCTCAGAAACAGTAATGGGAATGGTAGTACCTTGAGGGAAGGGGGAAGGTGCGGGGAGAAGGGAGGAACTGATCGGAATGATCGACAAATAACCCCCCACCCCCCCAACAGGGAGAAACAATAGGAATGTATGTGAAGGGAGACAGTGGACAATGTAAAATATGAAAATAATAATAACATAATTATCAAGGGGTCAGAAGGGTTGGAGCATGGGGAAGGAAGGGAAAAAAAGCTAATACCAAGGGCTCAAGTAGAAAAAAATAGTTTGAAAATGATGATGGCAACATATGTTCAAATGTGCTTCATTCAATTGATGTATGGATTGTTAGAAGAGCTGTAAGGGGATGCGGAGGGAGGGGAAAAATGAGGAGTTGATACCAAGGATTAAAGTAAAAAGAATAATGTTTTGAGAATGATGAAGGCAACAAATGTACAAATGTGTTTGACACAATGGATGAATGGATGGTGATAAGAGTTGTATGAGCCCCCAATAAAATGATTTTTAAAAGAAGGGGAAAAAAAGCTGTAAGAGCTATCAATAAAATGATTTAAGATATAATAATTATAAATTATTAAGGGTTCATGGGGAAGGGGGGAGGGGGAGGGGAACAAAGGAAAAAGCTGATTCCGGCAACCTAAGAGGAAAGCAAATTTTGGGAATGAGGGCAACAAATGTATAGGTGTGCTTTACACAATTGATCTATGTATTGTGATGAATTGTATGAGCCCCAATAAATTGATTTTTTTAAAGAGAAAAATGATTTATTAAAAAATTAGCATTAATTATGAAAAATATAAGATTTACTGTTTCTCTATTACTAAATTTTTAAAGGAAGGCACAGGAGATGAAGTTCTGTTGAAGACTGTCAATTCTACTGATGTGAATGTTAACCCTACTCATTTTCATGACCAAACTATCAAGAAAGGTGATTTGAACTTGACTGGACCCTTCAAGCAAGAGACACAGCCTCTGCACCAAAAAAATCTTTTGGAGTCAGACCCAAAAGTAATTTTGCCATCAGATGGATACTTAGACACTGAGACTCCCAGAATGTTCATTAAAAATAACACGGATATAACATCTTTGATATCTACTGACGACAATGAGATTAAGTCCACTGATAATCTCTGGTCACCAACCTGTGAAAGGCAAACAAGTGGCATTTATGAACCCTTTGAAAAGAGTAAAGACCGTAAGTTTGTGCTTTGTTTGTTTTTTTAACACAAAGACGTACATAATAAAATGTATATGTTTGAGGTAGAATTTTTTTTCATATGAATTTTGTATATATTTTAAAATACCACTACAGGATAATTGTAGTTCAAAACCTTTTGCTTTAATTAAAGGTATAGTGGAATTGTACCTTTCTAAAGCTTTCTCTTTTAATTTCTCTCTTATTGTCCATTGTAGAATTTTATTGTGTTTAATGTGACTTTTCTTCTGGGGAAACGCATGGTCTGTTAACAGACTTTGATATTGTTGATAAGTAAAACAGTCTGATTAATATATTTTAAAATTTGTCATTTTAGAAGTTACATGTATCATTGGATATATTAGGAATTGGATGTATATGTTGTTGTTGTGTTTTTTTTAAGAAATTGATCTGCCGCAGAGTGTGGTATATCAAAATGAAGAGGGCAAATGGGTAACGGATCTTGCTTACTACACATCATTTAATAAGGAACAAGATTTAAATATGCCTCTGTTTGATGAGATGAATGAAGACTTCAGATCTGGTTGTAAGTTTATTAATAGCCGTGCTTATTTTACTGTCTTCATTGTTTCTGATGGTATTTCTGAGAGGACCCCACATATATGAAGGGGGTTCAAAAAATTCTTGTAAAAATGGAATGACAAGGTAGTGGACTTTTCCCACTCACTTTGAAGAGAGAAAGGTGGAAAGCACGGGCATGCCTTAGACTGGCCAGCAGTTCATTGTAGGTGGCGTGCTTAGCGAAATTAGCTCACTGCCATTGAGTCCCTGCTGATTCATAGTGACCTGATATGACAGGGTAGAACTACCCACTGTGAGTTGCAGAGACTTTATGTAACTGTTTACGGGAGTAGAATGCCCTGTCTTTCTCCCTTGGAGCAGCTGGTGGTTTCGAACTGCTGATCTTGAGGATCACAACCCATGCTTAATCACTATTCCAGTGGTCTCTGGCAAAATTAGAAATGAAGAACTAAAACTGGAGAGGTAAGCTAGAGCTATGACGTAGATAGAACCTTGATACTAAGTTGAGCATTGCTTGATAAGCAGTAGAAAATTCCTGAAGTACTTTTTTTTGGGTGAACCTTGTTCTGCCATTGATGTTATAGCAATTCATGTGTTATAGTGAGGAATAATAGAAAATGTCTGATGGTAGCATATGAAGTAGAATGGTTAAGATTTATTGGCTTGAATGTAAAGCAATAGTAGAGAGGCAAGAAATAATTCAAGTAGAAAGCAAATGTTTTGAGAATGATAATGGCAACAAATGTACAAATGTGCGTGACACAATGGATGTAGGTATGGATTGTGACAAGCATTGTACGAGCCCCCAATAAAATGATTGAAAAAAAACAAACAAGTTCAAAACAAAAAAAGAAAGAAAGAATATTAAATCTCAGCATTACAGAATATCGCTCAGGAAAATACTTGTTGGGCAGCTTGAGTGGTTTTGAAAATTAGATGTTATTTGTTCATTTCCCCAAAACTGGACTTTTAGGATTGCTCTGTAATAAATGAACTTTTGTCTTTGCAGATGAAAAAAAAAAAAAAGAAATTTGAGATTATGATAGTTAGAGTTAATGATTTTAGGGATAATGCATACAGAGGTAATAATTTAAGTTATACTAGGTGAACTGATTGAGAGTAAGATCATGAAATGTTTTACTAAAGTTCTTCTAGCATCCACATTTTTCAGACAATCGATGAAAGTCGTGAAAACAGCATCTGAGATAGAAGAAGAATAAAGCCTGTGGTAGCCATAGGATGATAGAACCCCAAGGAGAACTTGCTCAATAATATCTTGATATAGCTAGTGCAATGAGAGTACAAATTAAACGTTAGGTATGAGATTTTCTATTTAGTTATGGAGTTCTCATACGTTGGTGATGTAAATATAAATTGAGAAAAACTGTTTGGCAATGTCTTATAAAGATGAATTTTAATAGTTTATGGTCCAATAATTGTCCATTTCCATTTAATCACAAAAATCATTGTAATTGAGTTGATGCTGAATCATAGCAATCCTATTGGACAGGCTAGAACTGCCCCCATGGATTTCTGAGACTAACTGTTTACAGGAGTAGAAAGCCCTGTCTTTCTTTGTTTTTTGTTTTTTAAATAATTTTATTGGGGGCCTGTACAACTCTTATCAGAATCCATCCATCCATCCATCCATCCATCCATCCATCCATCCATCCATCCATCCATCCATCCATCCATTGTGTCAAGCACATTTGTACATTTGTTGCCATCATCATTCTCAAAACATTCTTTCTACTTGAGCCCTTAGTTTCAGTTCATTTCCCCCCCTGCCTCCCTCATGAACCCTTGATAATTTATATTGTTTTCCATGTCTTACACTGACTGATGCCTCCCTTCACGCACTTTTCTGTTGTCTGTCCCCCTGGGAAGGGGTTATATGTAGTTCATTGTGATTGGTTCCCTCTTTCTCCCACCACCTTACCCTCCTGGTATCACTACTTTCATTGTTGGTCCCAAGGGGTTTATATGTCCTGGATTCCCCATGTTTCCTGCTCTTATCTGTATGAGTGTACATGCTCTGGTCTAGCTGGATTTGTAAGGTAGAATTGGGATCATGATAGTGGGGTGGGGAAGCATTAAAGAATTAGAGGAAAGTTGTATGTTTCATCGGTGCTATACTATACTCTGACTAGCTCATCTCTTCCTTGTGACCCTTCTGTAAGGGGAATGCTGAACGTTTTACAGTAGGTATTTAAGATAATACAACAGACTATTTCATTCTATATATTGAAATGTGCACATATCTAAAGTTACAAAACCTAAAGGGAATACCACCCTCAGCATCTTTCAAGCTAAAAAATATTACGAAAATATTCAAGCCTTTAGTTTCAGTATTGAAGGATTCTGTGGGCAGTATTAAAGGATTGTTGGTGCTGTCAGCTAAGTGTTGGAGTACTAACCCCAAGGTTAATGATTCAAACCCACTGTCTGCTCTGGAAGAGAAAGATGAAATCTATTCTCATAAAGATTTCAGTCCTAGAAACCCTATATAGGGGTGCTGTGGGTCAGAAATTACTTGACATTGGGTTTATGGTACTTTTTTTATTTGAGCAAAATATTAAATTACCCAGGAAGCAACAAAAGAAGATGGAAGGAATAAACAGAATTATTGTATCCAAAAGAATTGGTTGGCCACTTTAGGATGTAGTTTATAATCAAGAACTGATGTTATTGAAGGAAGAAATTCCAGCTCTACTGAAGTCACTGGTGAAAAACAAGGCTTCAGGAATTGATGTTTCATGAAACAATCGAGATGTTTTAACAAACTTAAGTTAGAGGTCTTTCCTTGGCTATGCCAGGAAATTTGGAAGACTACTACATGACTACCTAACTGGAATAGATCTATATTTGTGCCTAATCCAACAAATGGAATTAACCAAGATCACCAGGATCACACACAAGTAAAATTTTACCAAAGATACTTAAAAAAATCATAAAACAAGGTTACAGCAGTATATTAATAGGGAGCTGAGAGAAATTCAAGCCAGATTAAGAAGCAGAAATGGAAAAAGGGACATCCTTTTTCCATCCAGAAATCCTCACAGCTGGTCCAGTAAGTAACATCGTGGTAAACAAGAACAAACAAACCCACTGGCACTGAGTTGATTCCAATGTTGGTATCATTGTGGACATCAGAAAATCTTTGCTTGAAACAGACATTGCCAGAAAAATGTTTACCTCAGTTTTTAATGACAGTTCAAAGATATTCAACTATGTGGATCAGAATAAATTCCAGATAACGTTAAAAAGAATGGGCTTTTCCCCATTAGTAGGCCACTGGAGATCCCCTTGCAGAGGGGTCTCGGGGAGGAGATGAGCCAGTCAGGGTGCGATGCGATGTAACAATGATGATAAATACAACCTTCCTCTAGTTCCCTAAAGGTTTCCTCCCCGCTCCCACTACCATGACTCGAATTCTATCTTGCAAGACTGGCTAGACCAGAGGAGGTACACTGGTACAGATAGGAACTGAAAATACAGGGAATCCAGGATGGATGAGCCCTATAGGACCAGTGGTGTGAGTGGCAAAACAGGGAGGGTAAAGGGAGAATGGGTAGGAAAGAGGGAACCGATTACATGGAACTGTGTGTGACCTCCTCCCTGGGGGACAGACAATCAAAAAGTGGATGAAGGGAGACGTCGGACAGGGCAAGATATGACAAAATACCAATTTATAAACTATCAAGGGCTCATGCGGGAGGGGGGAGCGGGGAGGGAGGGGAAAAATGAGGACCTAATGTCGGGGGTTTAAATGGAGAGAAAATGCTTTGAGAAACGATGTACAAATGCGCTTTACACAATTGATGTGTGTATGGATTGGGATAACAGTTGTATGAGCCCCTAATAAAATGTTTAAAAAAAAAAAAAAAGAATGGGCTTTTCAGGACACATCTGTGTTCCTATGGAACATACAACTGGAAGCAGCCATTCAAATCGAACACGGGCATGCTGTGAAGTGGCTAATTGTAGCCACTGAAGCATTCGGGTGATTGTGGGAAGGTTTGGTAAAGAATTTAAAAAAAAAATCATTTTATTGGGGGCCCATACAAGTCTTATCACAATCCATACACACATCATTGTGTCAATATTTGTACATTTGTTGCCATCATCATTCTCAAAACATTCTTTCTACTTGAGCCCTTAGTTTCAGTTCATTTCCCCCCCTGCCTCCCTCATGAACCCTTGATAATTTGTAAATTATTATTTTGTCATATCTTACACTGTCTGATGTCTCCCTTCACCCACTTTTCTGTTGTCCGTCCCCCAGGGAGGAGGTTATATGTAGATCCTTGTAATTAGTTCCCCCTTTCTGCCCTGCCTTCTTTCCACCCTTCTGCTATCGCCACTCTCAGCACTGGTCCTGAAGGGTTCATCTGTCCTGGATTCCCTGTGTTTCCAGTTCCTATCTGTACCAGTGTACATCCTCAGAATTAGCCGAATTTGTAAGAGAATTGGGATCATGATAGTTGGGAGTGGGGGAAGGAAGCATTAAAGAACTAGAGGAAAGTTGTATGTTTAATCTTTGCGACACTGCACCCTGACTGGCTCATCTCCTCCCTGCAACCCTTCTGTAAGGGGATGTCCAGTTGCCTACAGATGGGCTTTGTGTCCCCAATCTGCACTCCCTCATTCGCAATGATATGATTTTTTGTTCTTTGATGCCTGATACCTGATCCCTTCGACTACTCGTGATCATACAGGCTGGTGTACTTCTTCCACGTGGGTGGTTTGGTAAAGAATTTGACATAGAGCCATGTAATAAATAAACTGCTTTTCATAATCTATGGCAGATAATCACACAAGGTAACAAAATTATTGTAGATATTTAACTGAAGTATTCACAAATGTTTTGAGCCATCTATACAGTGACTTAAAATCAATGTGAAATTTAATTATTGAAGTAAAATGGGTTGCAAATCAAAACAGTGAGGAGATACCACCCTACACTGACAATGACAGCCAAATTAAAAAGAAAAAAAAAGCAACAAACAAAATAAATGCTGGAGAGGCTAAGGAGAGATTGGAATCCTCATACTCTGCTGGTGGGATTAAATATATATGACCCCTATGGAAAGAAAGTAATATGACAGTACCTCGAATAACTAGGAATAGAAATTAAAAAAACAAACAAACAAACAAACAGAAATTCCATAACATCTAGCAACCCCTGAAGAAGTAAGAGCCATAACACAAACAGCACTGTTTCCATTAGAAAGTAAAAGAAAACTATGAGAATGCCCATCAATGGATAAAGAAACTCTGGTAATTATATGCAATGGGATACCATGCACCGCTATAAAACAATAATGAAACCAGAAGCACATTGTGCTGAGTGAAATTAGCCAATCACTAAGGTTCAAATATTATGAGACTACTGTTACAAGGGGAGTCAAAAAATAAACTAAGATAAGACTTTGATACCAAAGGCAATAGACTTGAGATTGCCAAGTTGGTGGGGTAGGGCTGGAGGGGCGGGGTGAGGGTAAGGGTGGGAAGATTAAGTAATGGTCTAGACCAATGTAGGCAAACTTTTGAGACTGAATAGCAAATCCTGTCCCTCATGACAATTTAAAAATTATTTGAGAGGCATTTTTACAAGCAATCATTGTTATCTGAATAATATCCTTTGAAAATTTTCAATTTTACATGAAAGCCACATGTATGTACCGAAAGAGCCACATACAGCTCCAGTGCCTCAGTTGGCTGACCTATGGACTAGTGATGATGGCTAACTTGGGTGAAATCGAAGATAGTAGTACTCTCCCAAGAAGAAAAAAATCAAGGAGCTGGTAAGGGGTAAAGCTGTTGCCGTGGGGGTGGGGAATTTGATTAGTGTTTTTAAAAGTTGATTACAAAGTTGATGATCTGAAATGTAAACCATCACCTAATTTACAATAAAATATTTTTACAAAAATAAGCAAACTAGGTTTCTTCTAGGGTGCTTTTTATGGGCAGTTTCCTTCCTTCCCTCTCTTGACTGTTATGCTGTTACTTTACCATTCTTGGCAGTGATTTTTAACTTACTTTGATTCATAGATCCCTCAAAGTCTAAGTAGAGAAATCTTTATATAGAATAGACTCTTTGTGTGCATTTTGAGGTTCTCTTGATCATCATTTACAGATCTATAGGTTAACAATGTTTTTTACATAAGAAGTGATTTATTGACAAGGTAACAAAATAGAACTGCCCTGATACATGAAATCATGAAGTATCTTTGATGCTCTGCTTTTCTTGTTTAATATTTATTAATGAGAGTGAGGTGTGGTCTGAGTTGTTTGGCCATGAGCTGGGTTGCCTCTAATGGATTGCCAATTTGGCTGCTCACCCCATGGTCCACAGTTCGAAACCACCAGCTGCTCTGTGCAAGAAAGACAACACTTTCTACTCCTGTAAAGAGTTACAATCTCGGAAATCCATAGGGGGCAGTTTTACCCTGCCCTGTAAGGTGTCTCTGAGAATCGGCTGCATGGAAGAGAGTTTGGGTTTTGAGGCATGTAAACTGGACTGTCAGGTAAAGTAACATCAATAGCCATTTAGCCTGTAGATTTTTTTGATGTCACCATGTTTAAAATCCTCCTTAGGTGTAATGCTTGAAGCAGGGCCATATGTTTTGTTTGCCGCTATCTTCACCAGTACCTGCCACTCCGCTCATTTATCCTTGGCCTGTATGGCATTTTAGTATTTTAGTCTCTGGTCTTAACCTAGAGACTGCTATTATTAAGTGGACTTTACTTTCTTCAGTAAGTGCTGAGGTGCTCAGTAGGAACTTTGAAGGTAGACATTAGGTAACCAGCTATCTCTCTTTGTCCATATATCGGGTTTCCTGGGCTTATGGGACTTTCATTTGTAAAACTGGGTTAGTTTTTGAGCCAACCAATATGGTTGGAACCTTAGCAGATATTTTTATGAAGAGCTTATGAGAAAGCTTAATCATTGTGATTGTTCCAGATAAAATCCCATGGGTAGTTATTACTGTAATATAGGTGAACCAGTTTTTCTAGGCTAATAATAATTTAAATCTTCTAAAAATAAAAGCTTAAGTCACAAATCCCCTGTAGTAAGTAAGGGCAAGGATATTCATTACCAAAAGTTGGATAGCTACAAACTTAAGAGCTTAATACAAATATATCAGTTATGTGAGTGGGAGCTTTCATATAAGTCTTTTATCACTTTCATATCCTTAATATATTATTTTTCTAACTGGCTAAATTGTACCGGTTTAATTAGGCCTTATATGATGTAATTATATAAACTTTTTATTTCTTAAGCTGAAGCATTATCTTTGATTGCACAAGATGAAGAAGAATTTTATAAAGAACATCAATTTATACAGGTTTGTGATTATTTGCATTAAACAACATTTTGAGTTTTCTTTTTCATTAATTTAAAACTAGGCCAAATACATATATTTTTCTGAATAGCCATATAGTCAGTATAGAATTATTTCTTTGTTTTTTTTAATATTTAAACAATTTCTGCCCTTTATGCTCTAAATTAATAATTGAAAAGAATTTAGTCTGAAATGTATTTTTAATTCAGTTAAAATCAATTTGTTAGGCTTTATAGATAATCCATAGTTTAAAAATGATGTAATCTGGAGACGTCAGACAGGGCAAGATATGACAAAATAATAATTCATCAATTATCAAGGGTTCATGAGGGAGTGGGGAGCGGGGAGGGAGGAAAAATGAGGAGCTGATGCCAGGGGCTTAGGTGGAGAGCAAATGCTTTGAGAATGATAAGGGCAATGAATGTACAAATGTGCATTACACAATTGATGTATATATGGATTGTGATAAGAGTTGTTTGAGCTACTAATAAAACTATTAAAAAAATGATGTAATCTTAATTTGTTTTTTGGTCAAGATGTACCATGAAAACAATTTTAAATTATTATAAAATGACTTTTAAAAATTACTAATTATTATTTGATTAAGCAATATACTAGGGCAGTGTATATTATAAATTAAATATGTAAAAACGGAATTTTATCCTGCTAGATTTCATTGCCTGTATCAGCTGCTTAAAGTTGAGTTTTCTAATAATAAAAATTATTAAAAAAATGTTTTAGCTATTTTTTCCTTCCCAATAGAAGAATAGGAAAAACGCTTGCTGGAGGAGGGAGTAATACCAACTTTCCTTCTTTATAGGAAGAAAACATAGATGCCCAGAATACTTCCGTTCCGCTAGGGGATACATCTTGGGGGATTTCAGTTAATTATAATCTGTTGAAGAAATCACCTAACACATCAGATTTGAACAAAGATGATGCCAGTTATTTACGTCTGTCTTTGGGAGAGTTCTTTGCTCAGAGATCTGAAGCTCTTGGTTGCCTCGGTGGTGGTAACAATGTGAAAAGAGTAAGTATGAAATGTTCTGCAAGTGGTTAAACTAGATCATTGTCTATCAAGCAGTTATAGAGTAGGGACATTAGTAATAGGGCTGGGTTCAGTCCTGTCTCTGTATTATGACTAATCCTTTGATATTGAACACATTATTCAACTCCTCTATAAAATGGCTGTTTTGGGTAACAAACAATGTGGAAGCTTTTAATACACACATTGAAGGTACAAAATCAAAGGACTTACTGATATATTTCATATAATGGTTTAAGGTTACTAGAGGGATTGTTTATTAAAACTAAGAAGCCCTGGGGGCACTGCAGGTAAACATTGAACTGGTAAATCACAAGCTGAGTTATTCAAACCCACTATCTACTCTTTAGGAGAAAGTGAGACTGTGTACTCCTGTAAAGACTTATAGCCTGGGAAACCATGGAGAGCATCATAAGAGCGTCACCTCAGTGGTAGTGAGGTTCTTTTGCCTTGATTTATTAAAACTGGATTCTGATAGTTTAATTTGTGGGTGTAATAGATGTAATGTTAAAAATCATAGTTAATTGACAGAAATTTAAATATGAAACAAAGGTGATCCAGTCTATGCAGTATACTAAAAATTAAAATAAATACTTTAGGAAGGTAGACTCTTTTGCCTGGAGTAATTAGGATTTTTGAGATTGTGAAAGAATTTGAAGATTAACTGGATTTCTTATTAAATAGGTTTTTCTAATAGTAAATCCATTTTTCCATGATCCAGTGCTTTGTTATAAATCTTATTTACATTCAAGTTACTGGATCAAGGGAAAAAATTCTTAAGTGAAGATCATTCAAAAATTGAGCTCATTTATCAAATTAGACCTATAATGTGATCATCTGACAGTTCTGTAAAAAAATGGCAGATCGCTATTCCCTGCCTTTTATCGTATTGCTCAAAAGCAAACCTGTCAGAAACCTTAAATCAGTAGGATTACAGTAAATCTTAACATAGACAATAAGGATCCACTTTTTCGATACCATAGAACAGTCTTATACTATAAGTTAGGAGTCCTTGGGTGCTACAAATTGTTATTGTGCTTGGATGCTAAATGAAAGATTGGAGGCTCAAGCTCACTCATGGCAGTTAAGAAGTAATGTCTGGTGATCTATGTCTAAAACATCAACCCTGGAGCATAACTGTACTGTGATACACATGGCATAACCATGAGTTGGAGACACTCAATGGCAACTAGTTTTTGGTTTATACTGTAAATTCCAAAACAAAATTTTTATTCCTTCACACCCACCCACTCACAGGCACATAGAGTTTGTTACTGAGATTTGGACAGTGTCTGGCAGTTAGTAGGTGCTCAATACTAATTGTCAAAGGAGAAAACTATCATTTCTGGGTTGTTTTAATTTGGATTTCTCAAAAAACCTGAACAAACAGACGTACTGTTATCAAGTCAACACTGACTTCTAGTGACCCTCTAGGACAGAATAGAACTGCCCTTTTGAGTTTTTAAGACTCTTAAGTCTTTATGGCAGGAAAAGGCCTCATTTTTCTCCCGAGGGACTGTTGGGTTTGAACTGCTAACTTGTAGATAGCAGCCAGGTCAGTTGACTTATGCCACCAGGGCTCCCGGAGTTGTCAGGAAGTCAAATTATTTGACAGTATAAGTTCTGATGATTAAAGATAGATAAGCAATAAAGAAATAAAAGGTTTTTAAAGTTCATTGTTCATAATTTATATAGAAAAAATACAGAATACTGAAGTAAGTTAGCTATAGCTTATGGTATTATAAATAAACAGTTGAAAATTAATAATTTAAAAGTACTGGAAATAAGGAAATAATTCACAAGTTTGATTATTTTGTAGCCATCATTTGGTTACTTTATTAGATCACCAGAGAAGAGAGAACCTGTTGCTTTAATAAGAAAATCTGATGCAACAACAAGCAGTGTCGAAAAGGAAATGGCTCATCTTAATAATCTACATTCAGGTAATATATTAAATGAAGGGACTTTTAGGAACTTGTTTTTCCCTGTACATTTGTGGTTGCATAATTATGTCTTTTATGAGCATTGATGTATGTATAAGCTACTCTGGGAGTTAAAAATTTGTACTTACATACCACCTGTAGTTAGGAATTAATCCCCATAAAGCCTATTATATTAAAAACTGAATGCATATGGTTGCTACTTTTCAATGTGCATTAAACATCTATCTAGCTGTTTTTATGTTAAAGATGTTTTAGTATATCTGGAAGTGTTTTCTTATTTTTTTTATGCATACAGAGATACAGTGTATACAAGCATTTGACTGACTTTAGATATAAAGAAACAACTGATTAACATACAAGTTCAATGTAAAGACAGATTCAGGAACAGATCTCATTTGTAATCTAGGGATTCCTTGTCTTTATTTCTATTCCCACCCAAAGTGGCCAAAATCCACTTAAATGCTTTTGTAAAAACAAAGTTAATGAAATAAATTGTTCATATAGGCAATTGTGTTCAAGTAAACTATTTTTTTTAGTTAGATGTCTTAAAATTAGATTTTTTAAAAAGCATTTCAAAATTTATTCTAGGAAACCTAGGTGTGTTAAAGAGTCATGATACCTGACAAGCATATAAAATTAAACTTTTTTGAGCCTTGCCCAATTTTAAATTTTAAATAGCTACTTTTACTAGTACAGTGCTGCATACTACATGAAAACGCCATTAAAAGACTCTGCAGTCCACTTGTAGTGATGAGACCAAGAGTCTATTTACTGCTAGTTGATTTTCTATTGCTGTGAAACATTCATTTCAGAACTCAACTTACTATATATTTGTGAATTGTTAAAAAAGTTAAAAAATATCAAGTGGGTATATGTGAGTATTTATAATGGAGAATTTAAAACCATCTTCCTTCAAACTTTAGACTTGACAGAATTATGCTAAATTAACAATGCACTTTTCCTTTGTCTTAGTAACTATTGTTTTAAACAGTTTGTCATCAGTCAGGCTGACTGGTGACATTTGGGGCACAAAACTTCTTCCTATGCAATGAGTGCTTTTGCCTGGACATTATCACCAGAGATTAATGCATATTTTAACTTGAATATTGTGTATTTCCTACAGGAGATTTAACTGAGCAATCTAAGACACAGCTAAGTGAAGGCTCAGTTACTCTGACGGTTGAAGAACTAAAGAATACTTCACTAGAAGATGAAAGTGATGTGACATTAATTTCCAATAAAGGCAAAATGGAGGTATTTTATGCCTTTCATTAAAAAACAATATTTTTATCATAGTTCTTCTAAAAGACCAAAAGGACCACGTGGGATGGGAGTGAGGGAATACATGCACATATTTTTGTGGCTTCAGTTTTATTACTTTAAAAAATAGTTTTGAAAACATTTTTATTGATGTAAGATATATATATACAAAAAATTTGCTAAGCAAACTCAATAGTCCAGTGAGTTATCACAAATTACACACTGTGTTCATACCAGATCAAAGAGAATATAGCTCTAACACCTCAGAAACCAAATTTTGGTCCTTCCCTTCCTTAGTGTTCTGACACCTAACACTTAACACTTTATTAATTTCACCTGGTTTTATATTTATTATTAGAGAAAGCTTGGGGTGAGGGGTCACTATGAGTGAGAATTAACTCAATAGCAGTGACAAAAGGAACATGTATTTTCTTGATTTTTTTTGTTTTGCCCCCTTGTAAGTTAATTAGATCAGTTATGTTGTTGAGTGTGTTGGTGGACATTTGGGATATTTCCAGTGCTACTAAATTACAAATAATGCTCTATAAACATACTAGTACATTTGTTTGTCTTACTGTTTACTCACATTCTGGAAATTTGTGCTTAGAGTAGAATTTCTGAGTCATAGGATTTGTATTATTTGAATTATAGTAGCTTTAGCCTAAAGTTTACCAGAATCATAACCAATGTTGATTCTGTCCAGAATATATGACAATACTAGTTAATATATATTGCCACCAAAATTTGGTATTGTTACTCATTCTGATAAATGTGTAGTGGTGCTTTCTTACTTTTTTGTTTTCGTTGACCTCATTATTGAGTTTTCATATATTCAGCTGTCAGATATATACCTTTTTTTGTAAAGTCCTTGTTCAAGTCTTTTGCTCATTTTTCTAATGGACTATCTTTCCTGTTGATGTGTAATTATTTTCATATTCTGGATAGAGGGCCCTTGTCAGTTACGAGTGTTTAACATATCTTCACTCTATGATCTGACTTTTCACTTTTACTTGTATCTTTCTCTACCAACAAGGGATCCATTTCCCATTTCTGTATTATGCCAAATTTGTCAAATATTCATTGAGGTATTCTTTATTTCTGGATTCTCTATTTCTTTGGTCTGTTTATCCTGTGTCAGTATGACACTATTATTGCTGTAGCTTTATGGCAAACCTTACTATTTGCAAGAGTGCCTCTTTCTGTCTTGATTTTCTTTAAAAGTATCTTGCCTATTGGCATCTGTTGTTGTTATTAGGTGCTGACGACTTGTTCCACCTCAGCAGTTTTATGTTCAATAGAACAAAACACTACCACATATACTCCAGCCTTACAGTTGTTCTTACTGTTTGAGCTCATTGCTGCAGCTACTGTGACTTCATCTTGTCGAGGGTCTTCCTGTTTTCTGCTGCCTGTCTTCTTTGCCAAGCATCACTCATTTCTGAAAGCAACATTTGGCTTTTTTCCAACTCAGATCGGTTTGTTCTTTTAGCAGCCCCTGGTACTTTCAATATTTTCCGCTCAGCACGCTCATTCAAATGCATCGATTCTTCTTAGGTCTTCCTTATTTAGTGTTTAACTTTCACATGCATATGAGAATGTGAAAATACCAAGGCTTGAGTCAGATGCACCTATTTTATCAACCTCTTCCTCTTCACTCTCCTCTTGTGCAGTTGGACTTTGTGTGTTATTTTGAATGTTCGAGACAGCTTCACCTTGAACTTTGAATTTCTCAGCTGTGCTTGCTGACACAAATCTTCAATCTTGGCTTTCCCCCAAACTACACAGGTATCAGAAGCAGGACTTTTGTAAACATTTGGCTTTGCGATGACAAAGGATATCTCCGGATCGTGACTCTAAGTAAGCCCTGTGACTTTCCAAAGACTCAGTTTGGACATAGCTCCCTTTCACTCCGATGGCCTTTGCTTTACTGTCTTGTTCCTCATCGATTCCAACTGCAGCCGCCAGCGGAGCTTGTGTGGTGGCCTGCATGGAATCCTGCTCCTGGAGCTCTGGTGCTGATTCAACATTGTCAGATTCTGTTCCAGATCCTGGCTCAGCCTGCGGCTGTGGCAACTCCGGCTCAGTGGCAGGGAGAGTTTCTGTGGCTTCACCAGGCATTTTGTACCGAGAATGCAGAGCCAAGATGGCGGCAAAAAGAGAACACCTATTTTATTTACTTATTTTCCAAACTCTTTATTGTGAACTGGTTGTGGGGGTTTTTATATTAGACCATTGCTTTTGCATTCAACAATGTAAACAACATAACAAACCTCCCAAAATAAACAACTCAACAAACCTCCCAATGATAATTCCTGTTTCACCTCTTTGTCCTTATTTTTTCATTTCTCTTTTAGTGTATTATCTTCCCTTCACAAAAATAACACATACCCATTCTCTAATCAGGGGTCCTCAAACTTTTTAAACAGGGGCCCAGTTCACTGTCCCTCAGACCCGTTGGAGGGCTGGACTATAGTTAAGAAACAAACAAGCTATGAACAAATTCCTATGCACACTGCACATATTTTGAAGGAAAAAACAAAAGGAGGAAAAACATCCGGCGGACCAGAAAAATGTCCTCGGTGGGCCGCATGTGGTCCCGCAGGCCATAGTTTGAGGACCCCTGCTATAGGTCATAGGTTTCCATACTTACTTGGCTTAACACCCTCTTTGCAGAAAATCAATTCTTCAGCATCTACCTGTCAATTCACAACTTTTGTACTATAGCCTATTATCATTAATAAAGTATAGGAGTATATCTTTGCTATTCCCATGGATTGTTCCAGCCCCCTCCCAGGGGCCAGTTTCTCTCACATAGGGTATTAGCTTATTGTTTCATTTTTCCTCCATTCCCATCCATACCTGGTAGCCATCAAAGTTTTTCTTTTGGTATGAAAACTATTTTTGATTTTAAAAACATAACAGCAGTTGCATACAATATTTGCCCTTTTGTGTTTGACTAACCTTACACAGCTTAGTTCCCTCCATATTCATCCATGTCATGAAGTGTTTCACCATTTCAGCTTCACTCTTTTAACTGTAGTAATTAATTTTGTGCATGTACTCAAGTTTATTTATCTGTTCTTTCTCCTTGGGGCATTTAGGTGGTTTCTGTTTCCTTGGTTTTGTGAATAATATCCTTGCTGTGATACAGTTGGTGTGCAGTTATCTCTTTGGACCTTGTTCTATATTTCTATAGTGTATACATTAAGTCACGCTGTTGCTGGGTCATAATATTTATATTTTCAGTTATTTGAGGAAGCACAGTGCCATATTGCATTTAACAGTGGCTGTACTTATTTATAATAACAGCAGCCGTGTATGAAGATTCCAATCTCTCCTCCCCCACCCATCCCCTAGCATTTGTTGTTTTCTGCTTTTTCTACTTTGCTATCAAGGCTGGGGTGAGTTAGTATCTTACTGTTGTTTTGATTTGCACTTGCCTTTCTCCATGTGTTTTGGCTGCCTGAATGTTTTCTTTGTTAAACTGCTCATGTTCTTTACTCACTTGTTAACTGAATTTTCTATCTTTTTCTTGTTGAGGTGTTGCAGTTTTCTGTAGATTTTAGAGATTAGGCACTTGTCAGATAGCTCTTTCTCAAAAGTTTTTCCCAGAATAGGGATTTTGTTTTCACTTTTTGGGTTAAATCCTGATGCACATAAGTTTTTGTTTTTTTTTAATCTTTAAGACATTCCGTTTACTTATTCTGTCTTCTGTGTGTGTATTTTTCATTATATTTTATAGTGGTAGAGCTTACTATAAAAGTTAAATTAATATGCATATGTCCATGGAGCTAAGTTTGTTATTTGATGTAAATTTGCTTCTTTCTAGGACATTTTCTTAGTGGACAGCAAACCCAGCAGGAACAAAGAAGAGCTCTCTGATAGTAGTGACTCTGTACTTAGAATAAGCACCATCGCTTCTGCCATTGCAAATTCATCAGTAAATACCGATCCTTCTGAGCTTGCTGCCATGATGAAGGCACTTACAAATAAAAACAGAGAGAAGACCTTTCAAGAAGATACGGCAGAAAAGAACTTTTCAATTGGGTCTCACTTCTTGACTCATGATTTAGAAAAGAGTATGGGCTCCAACGCATTTGATATGGAGAAATATCTTAAAAAAACGGAAGTTAGTAAATATGTAGGGTTGGAAAATTTCTCAAGAGCTGATATTTGGGATGTTTCTTTGCCAAAAGAACAGATTTCACAAACTATCTGTGCAGTAAAGTTAGATCCTGCTAATCTAAGTAGAACAGAACCAGAAGAAAACACTGCAGTTCTTTGTAGCAAACAGAGAGAGAGCCAGATTCAGGAGTCATTTAGAACTATTAACTCTTCTAATCCAGTGCTTACAAATACAACTGATAAAGAGAGTACAATAGTTAATGTGAAGAGAAATTCTAGTGCTACCAAGCTACCAAATATTGATAACAGTGAGAAAGTCACCTCAGTTTCTACACCAACATCTGAGAGTTACTCACTCGTAAGGAACACCACAATCACGTCCCTTCAGCTCTTACAAGAGTGTGAAGAAATACAAGATACCAGAGAAAGTCAGAGGCAACATGATTATGTTACTGATTTAAACAACAGTGAAAAGCACGTGATTTTTGAAAAACACTCCATAAATTCATCTGAAAATGTTGGTAAGTCTGAGAGTAATTGATCATATTCACAAAATTTGGGGGGATTTTTTTCCTTCTTCGTATTCTCATTGGGAAATACACCTTTCTAACAGATTTGCCACATACTTTTCTCAAGCATGGTGGACAAGATTCGGTGGATGACCAGAGTAGCTGCAGACCTGCAACTTCACCACTGAGTCATTCTTCTCCTAGTGAAGTTTCTGCCACAACTTTATCCAGGTAGGTGCTTTTGCTCCTCCTTTTTAAATAATATACATACTCAGCATAGGAAATTTGGGAAAACGTATATTTTTCCAAAGAAACTCATCTGCTCTACCCTTGAAAGGTAGTAATTGTAAATATTTTACGAATTTCTTTGCAGCCTATTTTCTGTACAAATTTGTATGTTTTGCTTTTTTTCAATGATCATGCTCTGTATTTAAAAGAAAATCCTATTAAAAAAAAAAAAAAAGAAAATCCTATTACAGGCTGTATAATGGCTCCTACATGATTTTTGATACTTTTGATAGATGTTTACCTTACTTAAGCTTTCATTACTATGATGATAACACAGTATAAGGTAGTACACACATTTATTATCTCTTGATTTATGACAGCACTTCTGATTCATGGCCATTTTGGACATGGGTAAATGTCCAGATGTAGGGTAAATTCCCAGAAAAGAATTTATTGGAGAAAGGGGAATATACATACTTAAATTAGTACAGCCCTCAAAAGTGACTGTGTTAATTCAAATTTCTGCTAATAGTTTGCTCACAGTCTAACCAAAATAGTGTTTATCAGATTTTTTTTATTATTGACAGTCTGATTCTTAAAAGTAAAGTATTTCAGTTATTATCATTAGATGCTATCCAATTAGTTTTGACTCATTGTGACCCCATGAACAACAGAATGAGACACTGTCTGCTCTGGCTACATTCTCACAATTATGTTTGAGACCATTCTTACATCCACTGGGTCAGTCTATCATGTTAAGGATCTTCCTCATTTTTCCTGCTCCTCTACTTTTCCAATCATGATATCTTTTTTAAGGCATTGGTCTCTCCTGGTCATTCTCAAAACATTTTCTTTCTACTTGAGCCCTTGGTATCAGTTCCTCATTTTTACCCCTCCTTTCCTGACCCCCCTCCCTCACCAACCCATGATAATTTATAAATTATTATTATTTTGTCACGTCTTACAATGTCCGACGTCTCCCTTCACCCACTTTTCTGCTGTCCATCCCCTAGGGCGGTGGTTATATGTTGATCCTTGGGATCAGTTTCCCCTTTCTACCCCACCTTCCCTCCACCTTCCCGGTATTGCCACTCGCACAGTGGTCCTCAGGGGTCCATCTGTCCTGGATTCCCTGTGTTTCCAGTTCCTATCTGTACCAGTGTACATCCTCTGGTCTAGCCAGATTTGTAAATTAGAATTGGGATCATGATAGTGGGGAAGAGGAAGCATTAATGAACTAGAGAAAAGTTGTATGTTTCATCAGTGCTATACTGAACTCTGACTGTCACATCCACTCCTCGTGACCAGTGCCTTGTTTTTTGGATAATGCCTTCAGTGCAGCTTTGACTTCGCCTGTCGATACCATTGGTTCTTGATCATAGGCTGCCTCTTGAAATGGCTAAATATCAACAACCGTATATACTCATGTATAAGCCGAGTTTTTCAGCACATTTTAAATGCAGTTTTTGTGGTAAAATTAGGTGCCTCGGCTGATATTCGGGTCGGCTGATATTCGAGTATATTTGGTAGTTCTTTTTGATACTATAACTCTGTATTCTTTTTGTTTTGTTTTTTTCAGGCTTGAATTTTTTTAAATTTTATGTACAAATAGTTGGCATTGTTTCGTCTTTTGGGTAGCAGTTTTGAGTTGTCCATCCAAAGATAACTTAGTCCAGCCTGATGAAGCTGATGTCCTTTGCGTACTGACGGAAACACTGACGGCTCATATTGAGGCCGTATTTCTGGATCAGACCGTGCCGGTTTGAGCACACACGGCAAGAACGGGAGCCCTGGCCGAATTTTCGTGGGTGGCTCCAGTAGAGCTGCTGATGACCCAGCTCCTTCCCAGGCTCTCTCCGAGGCAAAAGGCTAACTCTGTATTCTTTACATCTTCTTTGGGCACTTCCTGCAGTATGTAATATTTTTCCTATTGAATTTTTCAATATTGGAAATTGAGGCTTGAATTTTTTCTTCAGTTCCCTCGGTTTAAGGTAGATTAAATGTGTTCTTTTTGGTTTTCTAACTCTATAACTTTGCATTATTTCATTAAAATACTTTGTTTTCTTTGATTCACCCTTTAAATTCATTATTTTTTCTATTTGTCTCAGCTACTCTATGATTAGGAGCAAGTTTCAGAGTCTTCTGACATCCATGGAGCTCACTCCCCTGCTTTAATGACCTTTTGCTTTCTTCATAATTGATGATCTCAATGTCCTTCCACAGGTCATCAGCTCTTCTGTCATTAGTACTTATGTTAGACAGGGTTCTCTAGAGAGATAAAACCAAATTGCTGATAATTTAATATATTGACTTATAAAGATAATTAGATATATAACAAGAAATGAACTGTTAAATCATATACAGATAAGTATATAATAAAAGAAAGAAACAGTTAAATTATAAAGCACTACAACTGGCTCAATTCAACTCACTGCCATGAGAGAGTTGTGAGAGACTAGCAGTCCTTCAAGTCCTGTCTGCTGCCAGATCTTCCTCTATTTATAGAGAGAGCTAGGCTATGTTAGCACAGCAGCCAATCAGAAGGCAGGTCACCAACTGCCAGCCAGGTCACCAACTGCCAGTCCCTAGCTCCAGGGATCTCTTAAAGGGACCTCAATTTACAGCGACACAGTCCACAGGCTAGGCGTCCCACAGGTAGTGTAGCCTTTAAATTGAGGCACAGAACAAGCAAGGCAGCCACACACTGGTCCGATGATCAAAGAGTGAGAGACAAGAAAGACGAGGCTCACCAAGCCATTTATCTCTCTGCCCTTCAGTTAATCCCACTTGTGTTTATCGGCCAGGCTGGCACAATAAACGATCTCAGTACTCAATGTGTCAAGTCTGTTCTTTAGATAGTTTCGATTTCCAGTGCAATATATTCAAGGTTGTGTTTTGGCTCTTGTGAGTTTGTTTTAATTTCCTTGTTTCATCTTGAACTTAGATATGAGCAATTGATTATCTTTCCCACAGATAGGTCCTGGCCTTGTTTTAGTTGCTGATATTGAACTTTTCCAGTGTAGCATCGCACAGGTGTAGTCAATTTGATTTGTGTGTCGTTTCATTTGGAGAAGCCCATGTGTGGAGTCGCCATTTGTACTGGGAATATTTCTGATAAAAAGTTGTTGGTCTTGCAGAATTCTGTGCTTTCCTGTTCTATCACTTCGGCCATTTTTTCCATGTATTGTTCCTTCCTCTTTTGCATTCCAATCAACAATAATTATCAGTGCATCTTGATTGCATTTTTGATGAATTTAGACTGAAGTTGGTAATATTTTTTAATTTTATCACTCACTTTAGTGGTTGGTGGAGAAATATGAATAAAGGTTGTATTGACTGGATTTCCCTGATTGTGGATAGACACAATGCTATCACAGACAGCATCGTACTTCAGGATGGAACTTGTAATGTTCTTTTTTTAATGTTAATAATTCATTTTATCCATACATCAATTATATCAAAACCATTTGTACATATATTGCCATCAACATTTCCAAAACATTTTCTTTCTACTTAAGCCCTTGGTATCAGCTCCTCTGTTTTTCCCCTCTATTTACCACCTTCTCAACCTCATGAACCCTTGATAATTTATAAATTATTTTTATTTTCATTTTTTACACTGTGCTGTCTCCCTTCACCCATGTTTCTGTTGTTCAATCCCCTTGATCGGTTTCCCCTTTCTCCCCCCTACGCTCGTGGTACCGCTACTCTCATTATTGGTCCTGAGAGGTTTATCTGTCTTGGATTCTGTGTGTTGAGAGCTCTTACCTGTACCAGAATACATGCTCTAGTCTAACCAGATTTGTAAGATAGAACTGGGGTCATGATGGTGGTGGGGAGGAAGCATTAAAGAACTAGAGGAATGTTGTGTGTTTTGTTGCTGCTGTACTGCACCCTGGCTGGCTTGTCTCTTCCTTGTGACCCTTCTGTGAGGGGATGTCCAGTTGTCTACATATGGCTTTGGGTCTCCATTCTGACCCCGCTAGTTCGCATTGAAATGGTTGTTTGGGTCTTTTGATGTCTGATAGCTAATCTCATCGACACTTCATGCTCACACAGGCTGATGTGCTTTTTCCATGTAAGCTTTGTTGCTTCCCTACTAGATGGCTGATTGTTTAACTTCAAGCCTTTAAGAACCCAGAAATAATATCTTTAATAGTCGGGCATCATCTGCTTTCTTCACCACATTAGCTTATGTACCCATTTTGTCTTCAGCGATTGTGTTGGAAAGCTGAGCATCACAGAATGCCAGGTTATCAGAACAAAGTGTTCTTGCCTTGAGGGAATACTTGAGTAGAGGCCCAATGTCTGTCTGGTACCTTAATACTTAACATATAAATATATGTACAAAGACCTATATCCCTATTGTTACATATTAATATATTTACATATATACATGCCTATGTTTATACCTCTTTCTATAAATGTCTTTTGCCTCCTCGTTCTTTCCTCTACTTTCTTTTGCTTTCCTGCTGTTCCGCTATCTTGTTTGACCTTCATTCAGCTCTCTACTTTCTCTTGGCTACTTTGCACTTAATTGAACCCCACCAGGCATTCTATGTCCTCCTCCCAATCAATTTTAGATCTCTTGTTATTACCTTGTCCCTGGGTTTGCTGGCTTCCCACCTTCTACCCTCCCACCTCCTCCTCTTCACTTTCACCCTGGAAACATCAGTACTGTTGTTTTCTTTTCGGATTGTTTATCCTGTCTATCTTATATAGATAAACATGGGGGAAAAAAGAAACAAAACAGAAAATAGACTATGAATAGTTGAAGGTCTGTCTGCTGACCCTTATGAATGTTTTCCAGTCGGGTCTGATGTAGTGCCAAGCCCTGCCCCCTGAGTCTGATCTGTTTTCATAATTTCTCAGGGATTTTATTGCTTTGCCCCCTTGCTACTCTGTTACGCTCCCTTCGTGTTACACCCTGATGGGGCAGGGTGTGGGGTGTCAGACTGGGCACAAGTACTGAACTGTCTCTGATGTTGCCCCACCCTGTAGTGCTGTGGGTCAGTGTGTTAGACAGGGTTCTCTTTCAGTCAGTAAGGAGACGCCATGTCTTGTGGTGAGGCTGATCCTCCGGTCCTCTCTGTGCATTGGTGCTCTGAGCAGGAATGTTGTCCTCGAAGATATATGTAGTGTATCTATCTGTGTCTGTCTGTCTATCGTATCCATATATGTCCTTCTTAGTTTGCTACTGTATGGTCTGGGCAGATCTGCCACTCTCCCCGGGCTGTATCTTCAGTGCTGTCCTCTATAGTGCATTCTTCTGGGAAAGGGGTTGGCGTAGCTGGCATGGGGGCTGGCCCAGCCCCGCAGACCTCTCTGTTAGTTCACTGCTTCATGCCTGTATGTTTCCCTTAAGGATTGGCATGCCAGGTTGATGTCTGGTCCCTCTCTCACTTTCCTGTGGAGACATAAACAGTACCTTTCCTGTAGTAGATTAGTTCCTTGTTCCCCCCACTGCCTTTGTCTTTCTGTAATGTTCTTTTTGATGGAGAATGTACGAAAAGCCGTTCCTTTTGAATTTGTCTTTCCCTGCATAGTAAACCATATGACTGCCTGATTCAAAATGACCCATTTCAGTTCGCTAATGCCTAGGATATTGATTTTTATCCATTCCATTTAATTCTTTTACGACTTCCAGTTTTCCTTTGTATATTCCAAGTTCCAATTATTAATAGATATGTGCTGCGACTTCATATTTTTAGTTGTGCTCTATTAGTAGCTTTAATTCATGTTTCTTTTGTTATATACATTAACCATTGTGGCATAGTGGTTCTGCCTTGAGCTGCTAACTGCAAAGTCACCAGTGCAAAGCCATCAGCGGCTCCTCAGGAGAAAGACAGGGCTCTCTACTTCCATGAACAGTTAGTGATAGTCTCAGAAACCCAGAGGGGCATGTCTACTCTGTCCTGTAGCATCGCTGCGTGTCAGCATCAACTTGATGACAGTGAGTTTAGAGTTGTTGTTTTTATTATGTATGTGACACTGAACAACCTTTCCACAATAGCTATATTTTCAACTATATCGTACTGTCTCTCCTTGTTTGTTGCCTATTTTTCTCATGGATTGTATGCCGTTTTCTTCACATTTTTTAGGATATCTCCATCTTTATAGAGAATAAATAGCCTCTTATTTGTTATATAAGAAAGTTCTCCTTCTGTAGACAATAAGACACAGAAGGGTGCCAAGGAAGGGATGAGTCAATCAGGGCACAGTATAGCATTGATGAAACACACAATATTCCTCTGGTTCTTTGAGGCTTCCTCAGCCCCCACTATCATGACCCCAGTTCTGCCTTTCAGTTCTGGCTAGACCGGAGCCACATACACTGGTACAGATAAGAGCTTATGAACATACTGAATCCAGGTCAGATAAACCCTGCAGGAACAGAAATGGGAGTAGGTGTACCAGGAGGTTAGCAGGAAGGTGGGGAGAGGAAGGGGGAACCAATTTCAATGATCAGTGCATAATTCAACCCTCCCCCTCCCCAGGGTAATGAACAACAGAAACATGGGTGAAAGGAGACAGCGGTTGGTATAAGATATGAAAACCATAATAATTTATAATTTATCAAGGTGTTACAAGGGTGGGAGGGTGGGCAAAAAGAGGAGCTGATACCGAGGACTCAAAAAGAAAGTAAATGTTTGGAAAATGGTGATGGCAACATATGTACAAATATGCTTGATGCAGTTATTGTACAGACTGTTTTAAGAACTGTAAGAGGCCCCAATAAAGTGATTTAAAACAAAAGAAAAGGTACAGCCCCCACTTCCCAAAATTTTTAAATATCTTTTGCCATGGAGAAACTTTATTTTTATTAAATTGAATTCCTGATTCTTTTATTGCTTTATGAAAGTTATTTTTTATATTTGTATTCATAAACATGAATGACGATTAAGAAGGAAATGTTGCCTAGCTATTAAAATCATTAAAAATATAAAATATATTTTCAAGATATTTCAAATTTTAAATACCATATATACTCGAGTATGAGCCAACCCAAATATCAGCTGAGGTACCAAATTTTACCACAAAAACTGCATTAAAAATGTGCTGAAAAACTCAGCTTATACATGAGTATATATGGTATATAATTACTTTAGCAGTTAATGATATATATTTAAGAACATTACATTGTACTGTGCCACTTCTACCTTAGGTGTGCAGTTTATGTGCTTGTCCTTGTATCTAATTGGCATCTGAATGGTATGAGCAGTAGAAGAGGGCAGATGTAATGTGTATGAGGGGATGAAGAGGAGAAGAGAAAGAAAGGAAGATACAGGAAGATGTGGAATCTTACTGTGTACTGTTTTCTAATCTTTTCTTAGTCATAAATATATTTTTGAATCAAAGGATAGTATTCTAGCTGATGCCAGGGCCTTAAGTGGAGAGCAGATATTTTGAAAATGATGAGAGCAATGAATGTACAAATGTGCTTTACACAATTGATGTATGTATAGATTATGATAAGAGTTATATTAGCCCTAATAAAATGATTTTTTTAAAACGGATAGTATTCTCCACCCTATTTGATGGCTCCTTAGTGTTACCGTATATACTCGTGTAAACGCCTAGTTTTCCAGCACATTTTTAATGCCATTTTTCTGGTAAAGTTAAGTGCCTCGGCTGATATTCGGGTCTGCTTGTACTCGAGTCTGCTTATACTCGAGTATATACGGTATATTGTGTGTTTGTATTCTTAATTTCTATAACCTAGTTGTTCCTATAAATCATTTAAGATTCCTGTGTGTTTAATATAAATAGCAATGAAACGATTTAGTGAAGAGTTGCTATTTATGACCAGAGACCTGGTGGTACAATTGCAGCATGATCTTCTTTTGTAAGATTTACAGCCTTGAAAACCCAAGAGCCAGTTCTGTTGTCCTACAGCAGTGTCCTCATGTTGTGGTGACCCCCCAGCCATCAAAATTATTTTTTTAAATTTATTTTTAAAATCATCTTATTCGGACCTCGTGCAACTCTTATCACTATCCATCCTTCCATCCATTGTGTCAAGCACATTTGTACATTTGTTACCATCATCATTCTCAAAACATTTTCTTTCTACTTGAGCCCTTGGTATCAGCTTCTCATTACACCGCCCCCCCAACCCTCCCTTACAAACCCTCGATAATTTATAAATTATTACTCTTTTTTCATGTCTTACACTGTACAGTGTCTCCCTTCACCCACTTTTCTTTTGTCCCTCACCCAGGGAGGGGGTTAGATGTAGATCCTTGTGATCAGTTCCCTTTCTCCCCGCTTCTTCCCCTTACCCTCCTGGTATCGCTACTCTCATTACTGGTCCTGAGGGGTTTATGTGCCCTGGATTCCCTGTGTTTCCATGTCCTATCTGTATCAGGGTACATGCTCTGGTCTAGCCAGATTTGTAAGGTAGAATTGGGATCATGATAGTCGGGGGTGGGTGGGAAGGAAGCATTAAAGAACTAGAGGAAAGTTGTATGTTTCATCAGTGCTATACTGCACCCTTATTGGAAGCGTGGAATTTTTTAATAGTTCATGTTTTGTTAAGCACTTTGTAATTTTTGCTGACCTAATTTTTAACATTGTTGTGATTGTTTATTTTAAGGGTTTTATGTTTTTAAATGCCACAATTTTCTTCTATAATAGTTTATCAGATATTGAATAGGAATAAGTTTATGGTGAGCTTTTATGTTGGCAGCTGGAACAGAGATTATAGATTAATAATATTGTAGACAAGTAGGGATGACTTTTTGCTAATGGAGATAGTGTTAAAGTACTGGGTAACTCCAATCATGAGATTTTCTTCTGTCCTCTAGTTGTACTTCAGAATGTTTGGATCTAACCAGTCAACCTCTGAAGCCTCCCGGTGACAGTACATTGTCTCAGTTGGCATGCTCAGATGCTAGTGTGAGCAGGCTGACATACCTGTCTGAGCATGAGAGCAGCTGTTCTGTCCCAACTACAGATTACTTCCATGAGGACCACAAGGTAAGCAGGCATCTTTAATTTTGTGTGTGTAAAACTTCAGCTCTAACGTATCATTGATGTAGGATTCTGACTGAAGTCAGACCTCAACACTGTTTTGCGATTTTACCTTTCACAACTGATTGGACAGCTACTCACATAAATATATGCTGGAGCTACACACAATTTAGGGTCTACCCTCCATGGGCTGTCAGTTTGTGGAGGTCACTGTAATGCCATTTCACAGCCATACCTACATGAACACATGATTATCTGTTATGAAAAATACAGAGGTGATTGGGGCATGGTTTAGCAAAGGATTACAGAAAGCATATTTTTCAGGACTGTTTAGAAACAGAAAGGAAGCAAGTAACATGGCTTGGAGTAGGCATGGCTTGGCATTTGAGGAGCACCATAAAGTGTAGAGCAACTACAAAGAGTCATGTACAGGGGACTAAGTAGATCAGGGTAGAAAAGAAGGAGCAGTCAAACCACGCAGTGTCTTGGATGTAGAATTCAGGATTGTAAAGGCTGTCAAGCAGAAGACTGATATGCTCATGGTTTTAAAAAGTCCACTCGAAAAGTAGTGTAGAGGAGAGAAAGATTCAAATAGGGAAGATTTATTTCTTGTTACTAATATTAAGGCAAGAAGTGGTATGTTGGGTTAAAGTCGTGGTAGTAGCAGTGGGAGAGAATGAGAATCTAACACTAACTGTGTGTATGTGGGGGTGTATTCTTTTATTATGACAGTATTTCATTTATTAATGAGCTAAAGTAAGTCTGACTGCTAATGACATACACCATATAGGATGCATCTACCAAGTTACTACATATATACAGTAAAGTTGCTAAATAAAATATCCTAGATGTTAGACCTTATGCCACTTTAATTGAAGCTTTATTTCTAAAAATAAACTTTTAATTATGACACAATTAGCAAATAATAAAATATACCCATTGAGATAGTTTATTGTGCCAGCTTGGCTGATAAACACTAGTGGGATTAACTGAAGGGTGGAGGGATAAATGGCTCGGTGAGCCTTGCCTGGGATTAACTGAAGGGCTGAGAGATAAATGGCTCAGTGAGCCTCGTCTTTCTTGTCTCTCGCACTTTGATCATCGGACCAGTGTGCGGCTGCCTTGCTTGTTCTGTGCCTCAATTTGCAGGCTACACTACCTGTGGGACGCCTAGCTTGTGAACTGTCTCGCTGTAAGTTGAGGTCCCTTTAAGACATCTCTGGAGCTGGGGACTGGCTGTTGGTGACCTGGCTGACAGTTGGTGACCTGCCTTGTAATTGGCTTCTGTGCTGAGATAGCCTAGCTCTCTCTATATAAAGAGGAAGACCTGGCAGCAGTCCTTGAAGGACTGCTAGTGTCTCACAACTCTCCCTCACGGGAGTGAGTTGCACTGAGCCATATGTACTGCTTTATAATTTAACTGTTCATTTCTTGTTATATATCTAATTATCTTTATAAATAAATATATCAAATTATCAGCAATTTGGTTTTATCTCTCTAGAGAACCCTGTCTAACACATTCATTTAAAGCATACAGTTTGAGTTTTGACAAATACGTATACCCTGTAATTACTGACCATTCCAGTCAACATTTCTATCACCCCCAAAAGGTATCTTTGGGTGACTACTTTATAGTCACATGGTCTCTTCTAGTCCTCAGGAACTCACTGATCTCCTTTCTGCCACAATAGCTTTATTTTGCTTTTTCATACAAATAGACTGATTCTATAAATACACTTTTGTGTCTACCTTCTGCTCAGAATTATTTTTGCTGCTTGTTGTTGGGTTTTTTGTTTTTTAGCTTTTTGTTGTGAACTAGGTAAAGGTTTACAGAGCAGTTCATCAGGTTTTCATTAATGAGTTCATACATATTTTGTTTCATCTCATTTAATGCAGTCCCCTCAGTGTAACATCACTTTCTCCTTGTGTTTCCTGCTGCCATTCCGCCTTTTTTCTTGACCCTTCTGAACTTTTTCCCTGTGTAAATTTCGATCCCGAGTGGTTGATTATTTTAAAATGTGTGTAACTCACTAGTACTTTTGCATCCCTATTAGATCTGTCTTTTGTTTGGTTGAAAATTACATCACAAGAGTGAATTTAGTTCTCGACCTAAAGGCTGACTAAGTGCTTCTACCACTCTCCATCCCACTAGCAAGTCTGATATTTTTTCAAGATTTTATGTTTTACTCCATTTTTTCTTCCCACTTGATTTATAATCCTCTCATTTAGTTCTTTTTAGAGCATTTGTGGCAGTGCTTGACTTCCTCTAACTTCATAAGAGGGGAGGAAAATCAAACTTCAGCCTAAGGTCAGTTCTGATGAGGTGGAGGTTAGACACGCCTTCACCATCCAGCCCCCTTACCAATTCCGACACCAGCTGTCCTTCCCACAGCTGTGGGTTCAATTAATTCGTTGGACTTGTGTTTAATAATTTATTGCAGTGGGTAAACAGAACTTACAGACTATACTCACAATTAGGAGGTTTATGAGGAAGTTAATAGGCTACAATATAGGATTGAAAATGTTCAAGATACAGTTCTCTATTTAGGACAACCTCTTCCATACATGCCTCCAGGGAAAGCTCTGGCCCTCATTTCCTTGGCCTGACCTCAGCCCTGTTTTGGCAAGCTCTTTCTGCACTGCTGGTAAGTGCCCAAAGGGCACCTCTCTACCATAAACAAAAGTTTGAAGGTGCTCAGCTCTAGCTCTGAGGGTCAGCAAACCCAGTTCTCCAGTTAAGTGCCCAAGACACCCTTCTCTGCAAGCAAGCGTCTTTGAAGGTACTTAGCTCTTGTTCTGTGTGCTGTGAAAACCACTGCTCTTTCTCAGTTCACTGCTCTGTCTTGTGCTCTGGCTTTTTGTTCTGCCATTCATTTTCTGGCATGCTGCTGCTTCTCTGATGTCATAGCATGCCATTCTTGGATTAAGGTGCTGCAATATCCAGGTATATTTGAGTCCAGAGACTTATTCCACTCCTGGCTCTTCTGTTTTGATGGCTGTGAAATCGCCCTGCTTCTTCTAAAATGGTTTCTTTTAAATCCTGTGGGATGGCAAAATTACTATCCCCTAGAGTTCCAAGTGTTTACAGTCACAACTAACCCTGCTCTCACTCACAACTGAATTAATATAATTCTGTCAACATCTTTCTCCATCTTCTCTTACTCAAACCTATCAGAGAAAATCATTTATTGGCACTTAAAGATTATGGCTGATGAGCCATGTCTCTACACACAAGTTGATAGTTGTTGCCAGACAACACCTAAGTCTTTTGATCTCAGAGCCATGGGAGTTAATGTTCACTTGGTCCATTAGTTTATTGGTCTAATTGTTTCCAGGCATCTTCAGTTTTCTTCACTGTTCTTTTGTCTCACAGGGAGAGACCAGTGGTTGTGCCCTAGATGGCTTTTAAGACTCTAGTTACTTCTAACCAAAGTAGGAATTAAACATTGTCTTTGTAGGTTATAGTGTACCAACTGATCTTGGTGTGCACCCAAACTGTGCCCTGTGAAACTTTCCCTCAAGGTGTTTGGTTGTTTCTAAGAGGTTTTCATAACTTTGTACTGTCAATGCTCTACCACATTACTGAATGTATTGGCTGAAGAACTCAAACTCACTGCTGTAGAGTCAGTGCCAACTCATAGCGACCCTGTGTCAAGCAGAACTGCCCCTGTGAATTTCTGAGACCTTCATTTCGAACTGCCAACCTTGCAGATTGCAGTCCAATGCATAACCACTATGCCACCAGGACTCCACAGTAATATTGGTAGCATAGATATATACACATGTAGGAATCTAGTTTGTCAAACCTATACATATTTATGGATATACTTCCACTTTCCTTTTCACACCCACTCAGACGGTGTCTATCTATGCATCACTGTTACTGCAGAATTGTGTATATATAAACCATCTAAATCTGTTTCTTCATCTATAAGGGGGAAAATAATGTTTGTAGTGCTTGGTACCTCATAAGTAAGCACCAAATAGATAATAGTTTTTATTACTTGCAATTTTTAGCAATGTTGTTAGTTGCCATTGAAGCAGATCTAAATCAAGGTTGGCGTGGGGTGTGGAAGAGGAGCTGACACCAAGGGCTTAATAGAAAATAAATGTCTAGACAATAATGATGGCAATGTATGTATAATGTGCTTAATACACTTGATGTATGGATTGTTACAAGAGCTGTAAGAGTCCTCAATGAAATGCTTAAAAAATAAAATACATCAAGGTGAGCAGCCTGATGTTTAACAGATTGAACCATTGCCGGGTGTGTTTTGTGGCTATTGTGCCCATCCATCTTATTGAGGTTTCCTGCTAAGCCTTATTTGTTTTATGACAGTTCGCTGTATTCAGTATGCTTTGCCCACACCACAGAAGGAGGCTTCTGTCTTCCTGTTCATTGTCTAGCTTTCACATGTATATCAGGTGATGGAAAAGATCATGGATTGGGTTAACAAAATGACATCTTTGAAAGCCTGTTTGTTCCCCTTTTGTTATTAGAGTTTTATTACATAGTTTGCAGGAGAAAATTCCTTGAATTGGAAATAAATTTCTTACCTTTGTTCCCTTATTTTTATAAATGTTTTCAGATTCACAGCTGTAATTGGTATATGCCTGCTATGTAGTTTCCTCATTGTAATTATTTCTATAAAGTCATGGATGTAAAATTTCTAATTTCTAAACCTGGATTTCATAGCTGAAGAAGTACTTTTCTTTGTGTAAATTGATCGCCCTCCACCCAAAGACATCATGTTATGCTTACCTATTGTATTACTTGTGATTTTGTCAGATGGTTTATATTTGTAATACTCAATTTAGTTGTGAGTTATTAAACCCCCCCC